CGGCCGCCCGGGCTGCACCGCCCGCGAGGCCGCCGCGCCAGACGGTGCGCCTGGAGCTGGTGCTCAAAGACCCCACGGACGAGAGCTGCGTGGAGTTCAGCTACCCCGAGCTGCTCCTGTGCGGAGAACAACGGGTACAGTGGGGTCCGGGGCGGGGGGTCCGGCGGGTCCTTCCCTGCGTGTCCACGTCCCCAGCCCTGCGCCCGTGCCAGCCTGGCCACGACCCCCAGCCCTGCGCCCGCCGCTCCCCGGGCTTTCCGCGGCCACGGACTCCCTGAAACCCATTCCCGCTCTCGCTCTTCCCTGGCCACGAGCCCCATCCCTGCTCTCGCCCCTCTCGGGGTTCTCCCGGGCCCGACCCTCGCCCTTGCCCTGTCTGGCCAGCACCCCACCCCCATCGCTGCGATCGTTTCTCTCCACTCTGGGGTCTCCACCTCCAGCCTTTCGCCCGCCCCTCCCCAGCGTTGACCCCCCCCCATTCCCACGCTCGCCCCTCGCCGGGTGCTCCTCGGCCACCGGCCCCAGACCCCTGCCCCTGCCGTGGACCCTGGCAGCTCCTGGCCTGGCCGTGAGCTCGCCTTGGGGACCTCCCCTCCCCCCATGCCTACCAGCCTCCACGCAGCCCTGGGGCGCAGTGAGCTGGGTGGGCTCCTGCAGGCCTCCTGGTCTCGGGGAGGAGGAGAAGACCTTGGGGGGCCCGCCCCCACCTGAAGGCCAGGCCCTGGCACCCTGGTGCTGGCATCGCCCTTCAGTACCTGCGATGCCAGGCGCTGTGGCTGTCGGGATGTGTGTCCATGTCCCCGCCGAAGGGGATTTAAATGTCACCCGAAGATCCTCGGACAGGAGGAGTGCCCCTTGAGACGCCCAGCCGGCTGGCTCCCTGCCTTTCTCCCTTTAGCTTTGTTGGTCCATGGGGTCATCGAGTGGGAAGGTTAGGCTTTGATATGGCGTCTCCCAATCATACACTCTCACCTCATGGTCAGTAATTGGTTCATAGGTTCAGCTTGGAGCCTTTACGACTTGGTGGTGGTGATTTTTGGAGAGCGGCAAAGCTCATTTTAGCTTTGACTATGCAAACACATGGTGGGAAAACTGCAGGTGTGTGTCTGCTGGGAGAGAACCGGGTAGGAGGGGTTTGTGGCTGAGGGGTGGTGTTGACCTGCAGAAGTTAGGAAGGGAGAAGGCTTGAAGGGCTTGGATCCCAGTTGCGTCCTGTTTGGGGCTTGGCCGAGCTGGGCCGTTAATAGGCACGAAGGCGTTGCTTTGTGGTCATTGTTGGCTGTCTGGAGTTGGATGAGTGGCTCCTTGTGAAAAAAGTGTCATCAGACTGTGTTTCTTTTGTGGCCACCTGGTATTGTGGTCGCTGTTTACTGTGTGTGGTGACCATTGCTGAGTGTTTGGATGTCAAATTCAGGAAGGGAGTCATTTCCACATGTGACCTTTCGGGTTACTTCAGTGGAAGTGATCCTGCTATTTGGACACTGCAGTGGTCATTTTCTCATAATGCCATGATTTTGGAAATACTGGGTTGGATGATTTTCCAAGCAGATTGTATTTGAAACTCCTATAATGTAAGTAGATTCTAAGTCTTACTTTTTGACTACCTACCTCATCAGTTGCAAGTGAGAAACTTTGTATTAAGGAGTAATGTAACATGTACTGAGTTCTTACTCTGGGCTCCAGACAAGCACTGGTTGTTGTATGAGGAGTTAAACCCACAGAACTCCATGCTGTGTGCCCACTCGCTCTCTCCAGGTTTTCTGATGGAGGAGAATTGACCATCTTTCTTCCTCAGAGCAGCTGGTGGCTGTGAACCACGTGTGTTTGGGTTGGTTCTTTGCCACTAAGCCACCATGGCGGGCAGAACTCCATAGTCAGGACTGTTACCCTCATTTTACACATAGGGAGACTGATAAACAGGGGAATGTGATTTTGTAAATACTTTTTCCATGGTAGATCTGATTTCCTAGTAAAGTGAAAGCGCTTCTGATTTAAATGTAGAGGCTCCTGCTGCGCTAAAGGAAAATTAAAGCCGTAGTAGAAATGTAAAGACCCCACTGTGATCCAATTTTTGTTGCAGTGGTTATGCTGTGATAAATTAGTGACAAATGTATCTCACAGAAAGGCAGGAAAATTAGGGAAAACGGTTTCTTTTTTATTCCTGGCTTGTTTGGATAATACCAGCATTAGAATGTTCAGATAATGAGGGAAAGGACATACTTTTTCATTTTTATACTTACAAATTTAGGACTTTCATTGGACCAATTTTCTTTTTTATATATTCACCTTCAACTGATGACTTAGATGAGGTTCCATAGATCATTTGGCGTATTCCATTTAACAAAAGCAAAAAAATAATCCACTTTGTTGTTGCTGTTGTTGTTGTGTACCGTTGAATTGGAACTGACCGATAGCTGACCCTCCAGCGGGTTTTCAGAGGCTGTTAATCGCACGGGCGGAGACTGCCCATCCTTCTCCCGTGGAGCAGCCAGTGGACCCAGACCGCAGGCCTTCAGGTTTGCAGGGTGGCTTCTTGCCACTGGGCCCCCAGAGCCCCACATTACGCTGCGTTTTTCAGCAGATGGCCCTATTTCCTGTGCTGATGCTCATTGAATGCATTTCTTAATAAAGCACAGAGCCACTCATGCTGATAAAGTTGTCACAGTTCCCCAGGAGGGCAGGTGTCGGCAAGCAAAGTGTGGCTGGTACCCGCCCCAAATTTGGCTTCTCCGCTTTTCCATGAAAGTCCAGTGATTCTTTTTAGAGCTTTTCTTTTCAAAATGGGTTTAATTTTGTGGTATTTACCATATAGCAGCTGGAGGATAGAAAGATTTTTGCAAAATAGGAAAGGAAAAGTAGGGCTGTAAAATTTTGAAATAACAGTTTATTGCCAGGTAAGGTTGTGAGCTAGGCTCTTAACTTGTAGGATGTGGCTATTAAGGTTTGTGTTGCATCTGAACTGGGCGTGTTTGAAATCAGCCCCCTTCAGAAAGGCTGATTGACTGGAAACACTGTGACTGATAGGAGCAACCCAGACTTTTCTTCTGACCTTTATTAATGAGGGAAGGCGCAACTCACAGGTGCTTATTGGAAAAACATGACAAATAAAACCACAGTCTTGGTTGCTAGTCCTCAGGTTCCCTGATCCTTAATCTTATTGGTGTCTCGGTGCTGGCTGGGGGTGTCAGCGGGCTGGGGATGGTGGCTGGGGGTGTCCGCCGGCCGGTTGGGCTGGGGGGTGTCAGCGGGCTGGGGATGGTGGCTGGGGCATGGAGCTGCCTTCTCAGCTGAAACGTGAGGTGGTTCTGTGCTTCAGGTGGAGTGGGCTAGTGCAGCATTGGAATGATATCAGTTAGCCAGAACAGTGAACATTTACTGTAAAAAGAAAAAAATTCCCATAGTGCTGGAGCTTTGTATGCTATATGAGAAGTCTGTGCTTTTTACTTACTGTGTTGCACATGTTGAACAAGATAGATGAAGTCTCTAAACGAGTGTTAGCAAGTTAAGACCAGGGAATAAAATTATTGTTAATTGTACATGTCATTTCAGTGTTAGTATTTTCAGTACTTTCAGGTCTCTTTTTTCCACTTAAAAATAACCATAGCAGCCTTGATTTCTTAAGTTTTTGGTTTTTTTGTTTGTTTGTTTGTTTGGTGTGATTGTTTTAAAGGAGAGAGGAGACATCTTCATTCGCCATGGAAATTGAGTCCCTGATGATAAATTTATTTCCATGGGACTGACTTTTTGATGCTGTATCTATCTTAGAATGGCTCCCAGGTGATTCTTGAGACCCTTGCCCACATATTTATGTGTACATTTCTGTACACTGAGGGGAGAGGGGATCCCAGTGGCAGTCAGGCTTAGAGTCTGGACGTGACAGAGCCCACGGGTTCTGATGGCCTTGGAGATAACAGCAAATATCTCCAAGTGCTGCTCTTATCACGAAGCCTCCCCTTTGTTACCAGGCTATTAACTTCCTGTGCGGTTGTCCATAAGCAGCTTTTTGTCTTGGCTCTTTGTGTTGAAAACCTCTCCTCTGCTGTTACAGAGCTGTGCTAGTGGATGTCTTTTAAAGTAGGGAGTATTTTCTTGATGGCTGGCCATTGGCAGAGGGTAGGGACCATTGCTGTGGGTCTCCACTGAGAGCTTGAAGCCCCCTCAGCCACAGGCGTCCTGTGATGGTTCCCAGGCAGATGCCGAAGGCTGACTCCAGCTCCAGCTCATGGAAGTGTTTCTACTAATATAGTTGATCTTGTTACAAGTATGTGAGCTGGAGTTTTAGAGGGATTTTTTTTTTGGCCTAATTTTTTCTTGCTTTTTCCAGCCTTGTTATCTCTGAGAGGGTGACCTTGTGCTGGTGGAGAGGATTTGGATTGTTCAGTTTTGAGTCTGCTCTGTGGTAACGCTAATGCTCCGTCAAGGTGTCTGAGGCTGTACCTCTTACTGGGAGCAGATAATCTCATCTTCCTCCCACAAAGCAGTTGGTGGATTTGAACTGCTGAGCTTGCCATTAGCTGCCCAGCATGTACCCTTATGTTCCTTCCAGGGCTCCTTGCTGAGTGTATAAAAGACCACCAAACCCATGTCTTTCTAGTTGCCTGTAATTGTTGTTATGAGCCATTGAGTCGCTTGTGACTCATAGCGACCCTATGTACAAGAGCCCTAAAAGCCATTCTATCCTGTGCCAACCTTGCCGTCTCAAACACACTCATTCCCACCACTCCACTCACAGAATCGATCCATCTCATCGAGGGTCTGGCCCTGAATAGTGTTTAAACTTGAGGCTTTGTGGAAGTCTACTTGAAGTTTTGTGCTAATACGTCTCTTTCTTTCCTCTCACTTTTAAATCAGAAGAGGCCCCTGCATACTGAAGACCCATTCACCGATGGGCTCCAGGAGAGACAGGAAGTTGAACTGTTGGCGAAGAAGTTTGAAATGAAATATGTGAGTATAATCAGCAGTGTTCACTTGGGGTCTTTATTCCTACCAACTGTTTTATTTTTGGAATGTACTTTTTTTGTGTACCCTCAAGTGGTGGCGTAGCTGACTTGTCAGTCAGTTTGCGGAGGCGGTAAATCGCAAGGAGGAGATTGCCCATGTGTTTCCCCACAGAGCCCCTGGTGGATGCGAGCTGCCTGCCTTTGGGTTGACAGCAGAACTCCTTACCAGTAGGCCACCTGAGCTCCCTGGGACTCAAAATATTTATTTCCCACTTCATCTTGTTCTCATTCAGTGAATGTAACTGAGTGATTTGCCTTAGTACTTCCCACTACCATTGAGTCTGAATTACAGGCCCCTCCAGGACAGAGTGGAACTGTTCTGTGAGACTGTAATTCTTTTCAGAGGCAGGCTGCCTCGTCTTTTTGACGTGAAGTGTCTGGTGGGTTTAAACCACCAGGCTTTTGGCTCACAGGCAGGTGCCTTGACCACTGTACCACCAGAGTTTCTGAATATTTCCTCTGAGAATCTTGATTACCGTGTGATGCTATGATAGAGAATGACTTTCTGCAGTCCAGCCAGTCATGTTCTTTTTGTGTTTTGTGACACCCAGTTTTGGTAACAGTTTGAGTTCCCGGGCAATTTTCTGTGCACTTCCTGTGTGACTGACTTTGTGGACTCACCCCTACCCCAGGGTCTTCATGGCATTTCCATGCTCCTGGACTATGAGCCGGTGAGGAAGCAGCCTCTGCCTTGTCCCTCCTTCCTGCCTCCTGTGAGAAGGTGCTTTCAGAGCAGGACCCCGGTCCTCACTTGCTGGCTTGTGTGGAGGTTGTATGTGGAGAGGGGGCTCGGAGAACAGACACTGTTGGGTGCCAGCCCATCCACTGTTGTGTCCTTGAGGGCAGTATTTCACTTTGTGGGACTACTGTTTTCTTACCTAGAATTGAGAGGTGTGGAAGATTCTTCTGTGTTCTGTGTTTGTATAATAAATTTGAGGCTAGATAGAACCATGTCTACTGTTGCTTAAAGGATATGTGGTATGTAATTACAATGTAGTGTGCCTAGTACTGTATCATGAATGTATCCAGTCTGTATTCTTGATCCAAGTTAGTACATGGGCTCAACTTAGTATTTTAACTAAGCAGTACAAATGCGTGGTGCAAAGTTTAAAAATGTAAGGGGTAAAAAATAAAGTACAAGGGCACTGAGTGAAAAGGCACCCATTTCACTCTGTTGCCCACCTGCCTGATCACACGTGGCTGTGGTGAGCAACTCTGGGGCTCCTTCTGGAGGGGGTGTCTGCGTGCGTGTGCACCCTTCCTCCCTCTGCCGTGTTACACAGCGCTGTACACACTCTGCTCTTGTGTTTTCATTTACGCTACTGTGGCAAGGTCTTCCTATCGGGACACAGAGGGCTTTCTCCAAAATTTTTAAATTTCTTTAAAGACTTAATGGTATGCCATGTATGGAAATGTCACTATTTAACCAGTCCCCAGGTGACTTTAGTTGTTTCCAAAAAATCTGCTCTTATAAATAGCACAGCAGTGACCGGCATGGCATAGCTCGTGTTTTCATTGGGACGGGGTCCCAGAGTGGACTTCTCAGGTCAGAGGACACACTCGTGGAAGATGAGTTCAAGAGTCACTGCTCACTAGTGCCTCTTTGTCTTTCTTTTTTTTTTTTTAAATTGTCATCTTTATTTTGCATACTTTAATTGCAGAACAAAATAAGCAAAGAAAATTGACAGTCTACAACATCTAACCTCATTCTTGAGGTTGAGGTCAGAGTTACATCCTGCCTTAACACACAGGACAGGAAAGAAAAACACTAGCTATCAGCAGATGGAGCCAGTTGGGAGAGGCTGAGTCAAGGCTGCTGTGGGAGCCACAGAGATGCTGGCCGGGGGTGTTACAGTAGGAACTGTTAATCGACTTCTTCCATGCGAGGTGCAGCCTCATCACCCTCAAGTGGGGGGCTCTCGTCAGGAGCAGCAGCACTGGGTTCCTCAGCTGTCACCTCATCTTCATCAGTGCCTAAGCCTAGCTTCATCGTGCTGTAGATGCGGGTGGAGTGAGTCTGGGGATCCTCAGGGGAGAAGCCAGAAGAGAGCAGTGCGGTTTCAAACAGCAGCACCACCAGGCCCTTCACAGCTTTGTCATTCCTGTCCTCCTCAGCCTTCTGTCTTAGTGTCTCTACAACTGCATGATCAGTATTGGTCTCCAGGTGCTTTTTAGCCATCATGTAGCACAGTGTCCAGTTGTCCTGAAGCGCCTGTGCTTTCATGGTCCGCGCGATATGGCTGTCCAGCCATAGGTGCTAGTCACCATGCAGCAGGGTGGGAGATTCAAGACTATTGGAAGTTGTGCCTTCTCAGCCAGGACTTCCTCATGAGCTCACAGCGGTGATGTGATAAATGGACTTCTGTGTCTCCTTCACGAAGCTCCTCTTTCTTAGAGAGGTGTAGCTGTTTAAGTCTGCACATAAATGATAAATACCTGAGTATTTCTGTGAGTGGATGAAGAAGCCATGCAGGATGGTGATACGGCGGCATAACGAGTGGAGCCCCTAGAACTTGGGATGCTCCCCTGGGGCTCTGGGAGGAGAGCAAGATCTGTCAGATTGGAATGGACTTTGGAGACAGATGCAGAGCTGGGGGCGATATTCCTCAGTGCTCCCTGGAATGGTTCACCTCTGGGAGGGAGAGAGGCAGAGGCAGTGTGTTGTGGGCCTCAGGCCAGCTGGTTTCGGAGGTGACCTTCCCTGGACTCGCTAGCTGCATGCATGGTCTTCGCTCTAGGCTGCTTCGTGTTTTGGTCTTGGTCAGGGAGGAATAGTCCCCTCCCAGCTAACCTCACAGCTCAAGGTTTTGTCACCATCAGATGAGTGTTTGAGATATTCCAAGTGCTAGATCAGAGTGAGGTGCGGTGTAGTGACCATGTGAACCTGCCGCCTGGAGGACATGACAGAAGCACCTGTCTTATTTTCTGTGTACCACATGTGTTTTCTAGCATCCGTGTGGTTTGAACTTGTATCTTTTGTTTCTTCCCATTTTCATTTTTTGCCTCAGATGGCCTTTACCTTGAACTCTTCAGTCACTTCTTATAAAAAGATTCTCAACACTGGGCCAATTGGAAGCACCATATTAGACTGAGGTTGTTAGCAATTACAACTTGCTTGGATCCACAATCAACACTCATAACACCAGCAGTCAGGAAATCAAAAGACGAATTGCATTGGGAAAATCTGCATTCAGGGACATCTCCAGAGTCCTGAAGAGCAACGATGTCAGTCTAGATTTTAAGATACTAACGTGCGCCTAATCCAGGCCATGGTCTTCTCAATTACTTGTTAAGCTTCAGAGAGTTGGACAATGACTAAGGATGACAGAAGAATAGATGCCTTCACACTGTGATGCTGGAGAAGAGTGTTGACATACCATGGACTGCCAAGAAAAAAAATTGGTCTGTTTTGGAGAGGGCGAAACCAAGTCTATCCTTGGAGGCTAAGATTTTGAAGGTCTACCTCACTCACTTTGGGCATGTAGCCAGGAGAGATCAGTCCTTGGAGAAGGACATCATGATCGGAACGGTGGATGGACAGCCCAGAATATGGAGAACCCGATGAGGTGGATTGATACAGTAACTGTGGCAATGGGGGTTGGTGTGTCGGGGTTAGTGAGCCTAGCTCAGGACAGGAAACAGTTCAGAACTGCTGTACATTGCAGGCAACTCAGTGGCACATAGCAGTAATGTACTATGACAGGTTTGGAAGCAGGAGCGGCATTCTGTTCCTAAATACTGTGCCTCCGGAAACACTGAACTTTGATAAATATTGATAGTTACAGAGGGGTTTCAGGCCTTTTGTTCATAGGATCACTTTGAGTCGAGCTTGACTTGAAGGCAGTCAACAACATTGTCACTTTAAAGTCCACAACGAATTACCTGAGACCTTGAAAGAGAGGGTGCCCAAGTACCCTACGTGAAGAGCTCCACCCAGTATCAGTTGCTCCCAAAAGATCGCACAAGCAAAGGCCTCTCTTGGCATCCTCGTGGTGTCCTATGGTTCAGAGGCTCTCACTCCAGGTGTCCACCCATCAGGTCCAATGGAGGAGCAGTGGGAGATTGTCCTGTCCAGGCCCTTGTGCACCCTGTAGACACGGATAGCTGCTGCTCAGCCCCAGCCTCTTTCACTTTTCCTTAGAGTTCTAGGTCTTTATGTTTCTCAGATGAAGGCAGGAAGCTGGCTTCTCCTTTGACATCTGACCTTTAAATGTTGACAGGTGATTAAAGCAACTCCTAGTAGGCTAGACTCAGCCTGGAGCATGATTGGGGCCAGGGACAGCTGATGAATCCGCTTGGGGACCTTGTGGACATGCCCCTGGATTGTTTTCTGTGTGTTAGTTCATCCCTCCAGCCACTCATTCGTTCCCTCTGGAGCAGTGTTTGTGGGGAAGCAGGGTGTGCTGTTTCCACTGAGAGAGAATGCATGTCTGCAAAGTTTCAGAGAGCTGAGAGTTAAATTGGCCTGAAGCTTCTGGTTCCGCATTGTAGCTGAGGTGAACAACAGTGTTGCTGAGGGTGACAGCTTTGTGGCTGCGGTGGTGGCAGTGTGGCTCGGGTGATGGCGGTGTGGCTGTGGTGGTGGCAGTGTGGCTGGGGTGATGGATGTGTGGCTGGGGTGGTGGCGGTGTGGCTGGGGTGGTGGCGGTGTGGCTGGGGTGGTGGCGGTGTGGCTGGGGTGGTGGCGGTGTGGCTGGGGTGGTGGCGGTGT